CTCTCCTCCTGCAGCGAACACTGGCCTGGAGGAACTACTGAAGCGGCCAACCTCGGCTATCCAGGACATCCGACGTTTCGGGAGAAATTTGTTGTCAAGGAACGGCGACGCATCTTCGCCGCAGGCACGGCCGACATCTCCATCCAATGAAGGAACACTGCAGCCATTAGGTGGGCCCTCTAGAGGCCATCTCCGCCCGCCAGAAACGGGCCCCGCCGTCACGCCGCTCAGCAGCATCGGTGCGTACAATGGATGGTTCATGCACCTTCCTCTTCTCAAATCCACACCATTTAGCCAACAATGTCGACAAGGCCATCAAGGCCTGTGGACCTGAGGGGCAGAACCTCATTAAAAATCGTGAGCAAATGCAGATAGTAAAGGAGTCTCTGGATGAGGGGTACTGCGACGTGTCCGGTCGGTCCGGAGACTTGCAATATGTTGGTTCGTGTGTCCCCAGACAAGGCAGCGACTTTGAAGTGCTAACCATCATCGGCCTCATAGGTAGTATGGGTGGTGTGAAGGTCTATGCGGCGCAAGGTGCGATCTTTCTCCCCGTGACCGTGCATCAGTCTGAATCTGAGACCCTGGTCCGTAATCTGTAGACATCCAGAACCCGCAGACCCTAATCGAACGCAAACATGACATGCTTGCCCGATTCCTTCACGTTCTCCTCCCCTTGGTCACACTCTACAAACTCCCGCAACAGAGCCTACATATCTTCATCGATGACCAGGGCCCGCTCATTGCTTTCAATCGTGGAGGAAGCCTGTTCATGAACCTGCGGTTCTTCGAGGCCTGGCGTATGTCCTCCCGCTTCTGCCATCCATCCCCACTCTGACCCAGGCACAACAGATGACCAAGATGTTCAACGGGGCGATTTCTCAAAAGCTTACATTTCTTGGTACGTCAAACGACGCCCTCGATTAGCGCTCCTCATGATTGCACTACAGGTACTTTACGTTTGCTCATGAGATCGCTCATAACATCGTCCACCCACACAACTCCGAGCATGAGTTCCACTTCTCTGCTATCTGCGAACAACATCTGGTGGCGTTGGGCCAACTGCTTGCCCGCCCATGATATCCCTCCGAGATGGATTACGCTACCTGATAGAGTGAATAATTGTACAACCGGACGCAAAGGACTAGAATTTCTTGGATAGCAGGATAGCAGATAGAGTCATTCTTCAATACCATCGTACACAAACAGTCCTCTAACACTCTCCACCGTCCTTCAGAGGTGAAACCCAAAGTGGCAGCTGGGGCCCCGCGTCCAGTTCGTCCGCAAGGAATGGCTTGGTGACCAGGAAACTCTTGAACTTGAGGGATGACGGTTCAAAGGCGAGGGAGAAGCGGAACGATCTGACGAGCGTGTAAATGAGAGCTTTCATTCTGCAAGACGAAGTTGATCAGCTCAAGGCGCCCCACCACTGCAGAAGAAGCCGAACTTACTCTATGACAGAGAAGCGATAGCCGATGCAGGCGCGAGTGCCCCCGGAGAATGAAAGGCTATTACCCCATATTCCGGGGATGTCCTCCACTGCAGAGGGGATCTTCTCCCATCGCTCAGGCCTGCAAGTGTCATGAGATGTCAGAGGATTACTCGTCGTTCGGAAAATCGCTGCATCGTACTTGAATTCCTTAGCGTCGGGTCCCCATATATCTTCCAGACGGTTGATGGCAAGAATAGGCAAGAAAATGGTGTCTCCCTTGGAGATGCTGAAGGGGCCAAATCAGTCTTACATAAGAAGCGGCGAGCAGCCATACGAATCAGACGCACTGGATACTATTCTGCCGGACGCCATGCTTGTCCACCCATTCACGTGCTGTGGGGATGACGTCGTCCTCTGTGGCGACACGAATTGTTCCGCTGACCGGCGAAAACACCCGCATCGTCTCTCGTGTTACAGCGTCCAGATACGGGAGGCTCGAGAGGAACTCCATCGTGACACCATCGTCCCCGTCATGGTCTGCGCTGGGTGGTGGCTGCGCTGCAAGGAGCTCTGCGCGGAGCTTGTCTTGGACCTCAGGGTACAATGAAAGAGCATACAAAGCCCAAGTCACGGCCGCGCTGGTTGTCTCGTGCCCTGCGATGAGGAACGTAGGAACCTCTGCATACCCGCATCCACACTAAGCGACCAAAAGAGGTGTGACGTGCGGAAACATACGTGCAAGGACGTCGAAGTCATTCATCCGTAACTCCTCCTTGAGGTCACCAGCCATGTTCGCCTTCACAAGCAGACTGAGTAAGTCCTTTCCTTGTATATCTTTGCGTCCGATTGTGGTTCCTCCGCCTTCGCCGGTAGCTTGCGCCTTGATTTCAGCTTTCTGCTCAGCTAACAATTGTTTCCCGATCCGTGACATGGTCTGCTGCGCATTAGCAAGGAGGCGTGTCCGTTCCGTTGGCTACAAAAAATCCAATGAGGGTCAGCCAACGACAACCATGTCAATATATTTGAAGGCGCACGATAAGCCTCAACGGCGGGATCAGTGCTTGAAGAGCAGGGAACAAGCGGAAGCCTCTCATGCTGGAAAAGAGTATTTTCACGGACTCATTGAGTTCGTTTGGAACATCGTCGGGATTCAGAGCATCAAATGAGTAGTTGAACCCTATCAATCAATGTTTCTCGTAATAATCTCGAGGTAACGTGGAGAGTACCTGCAAGACCAATAACGTCCAGGGTGGCCTTATTCAACCAAGGGAGGACGTTTATCTTTGATTGCTCCAAAGTACCCGGATCCGCATTTTGCGAGGCTATATTAGAGAGCCATATGTCCCGGAGCTATGCAAGTATCCATGTTGAAGTACGGTGCAGCACACGAGTCAGCCACTTTACCTGATTAGCCTTCTCGACAAAGATAGATGTAAGGGCACGAATTTGGGGTGGGCCAAAAGCAGGACTCTGTGTAGGCTCAGATCACTGGGAGAAAGGCACACGCGGCAGTTGGACGTGCCATTATACGACGCTAGACGCGAAGGATGAATATGGATGAAAACATGAGACAAAGCCAACTCACCTGTTGCTTATGCTTTTCACCTGTACGATGTTAACAAAGACGAAACCAGACTACGCTTTACGGACCTTCAACGGAGAGGAGACCTGAAGAGAGGTGTCAGAAGTGGCGATGGTTACACGGCGAGTCAGCACGGACCATGTCCAAGCAGTTGGCTTAGGTTGAAGCGGGCCATGTCGGGTTTCTGGTAGATGAAGGAATGGGAGAGAATGTGCGACACCGCGCGCAGGTCCATGGTCACAAGCCTATTATTCTGCTGCGGGATCAGTGACCGCAAACAGCGCGCTTACGGTGGGACCACTGACTCCGAAGAAGGCCTTGTACTTGAATACGGGACCATACTGCGCATACCACCTCTCCTGGGGGACGGCAGGATCCTCGTTGAAGATCTGTTTGAGATTTCCAAAAATGAGGTTGTCGATAGGAGGACCTGGAACATTGCGCAAGCTGAGGTGTGGCTTGACTAGCCATCGGTAGAGCGTTCTGAGAACTGGCACGAGGACGACAAGAGCAACTGCTGCTGTAACTGTCCGAATGGAACTGGTACTCAGTGTCACGTCCATGGCTGCACGAGTTAGGTTTCCGGTGAGTGATAGGGTATTCAACAGGACTCTATATATATATATCGCCCTGGTAGTGATCCTAGTACCCCATTAGTGGGTAGGTGGGAAGCGCAGACGTGGCCTCACGGCGATTGAAGCCGCAGCCTGGGCCGCAGCAGCTTGGTCCGTCGGATCCAGGAGACAATATCTCACGTAAGTCCGACGGTAGCTTACGCCAGCTTCCTCTCACGTGCTCGAGATCTCACGAGACCTCACGAGACGGCCTTGACTGCAAGTGACGCGTCGTCTGCACGCAACTCGAGTCTACACCATCTAACACAACATGGAGTGCTCGTTCGCGCTCACCGGAAAGGACTATGTCCTCGTCGCCGCGGACACCACCTCTGCTCGCTCAATCGTGAAAATGAAAGTCGATGAGGACAAGATCAAGACGCTTAGCCCTCATCTCCTCATGGCCTATTCTGGAGAGTCCGGTGAGTACTCTCTCTCTGGACAAAGATCTCGCTCCTCCAACTCATCCGCTCTTCCAGGTGATACCATCCAGTTTGCGGAATACATAGAGCGAAACCTTAGGCTATACCACATTCGCAACCTGTACCCTCTCCGGCCACAGTCCGCGGCGTCATGGATCCGTCGGTCAATAGCCGAATCGCTTCGCTCACGTTCACCTTACACCGTCAACATGCTTGTCGGTGGGTTCGACACGGCAGAGGAGACACCGCATCTCTATTGGATCGATTACCTTGGCACCATGGCCACGGTGCCGTTCGCCGCTCATGGCTATGGCAGCTACTTCGCTCTGGGCTTGCTAGACCGGTACGTGGAACATTCCCCCGATCTTCCTCCTCGTGCGAAGGGTCGGCTTTGCCTCTGTGAATAGAGGAGTACACCTGTTGGCCCCGCGTATCTCTTCCACAGATTATTGAACGTTGCCACCCATAGATACCATAACCCTGACGGCACGCTAGAGGAAGGCCTGGAAACTCTTCGTCGTGCAATCAACGAGACTGCACAACGCTTGATAGTGGCACCGGGGAACTATGTTGTGAAGGTGGTAGACAAGGATGGTGTCCGAGAAGTCAAGCTGTAATGTATTTTTTGACCGTTGATTCAAATGTGTTCCATGATTCCGGCCCCGTTAACTTGTCATCTCGACCTCCAATTGACTTCCGCAAGCAACCTCGGGCACGCCGACGCATCACCGGACCCTACTCATTTTCATTGGCTCGCGTTAGTGGGAGCAAGTGGGAGCCCGGCGAGCGTGCGATTGGTTCTGTGACTAGTAACCCTTGTTAGAACCGTTAGAAACCCGCTTTGTCTTACATATCAGCGTCGTGAAAGCAGAAATAACATAACAGAAGCCCAGGGTGAACGAAAGTGTAGCATATTGCATGCTGCAGGTAGCCAAAAAAGAGAAGGATATGGGCCCAACTGGGGTTCGAACCCAGGACCGCTCGCAAGTGTCCGGCCGAAGCCAACCCAAAGCGAGCATCGTACCACTAGACCATTGGGCCACGGATTGATGGTATTTCTGTATCGTTATAAGCGCGCACGCGTCGAATGAGAGTGCAAGCGCCCCGGCTGAGCTGCGGCCGCCCCGACGTGAGGCCTCGGACGACCGTCACCCGTCCATGGACAAGTTCAAGGCCCTCGAGCCCGTCAAACTACACCAGGGCTCATCATCAACTAACTCTCTGAGGTTCTCAACGCGATATGTCCCCCCGACGCCTCTCATTGGAAACCTCCCGTCATCGCTTCACCTCTTGATTCTTCAGTACATCCCGGTGCCCGATGTCCCCGCCTACGCACGCACTAATCGCGCCCTCGCTCGGCTTGCTGCTTCTGAAGCGCTCTGGGAACACCACTACACCCTCCTGGGCGTTGACCACCACGGATTTGGACCTGTGCTAGACGAGCTGGAAAATCGAGCGCGCAAGGAAGTGCCAGAACAGCCTCCGACGCTAACCGTGGATGTCGCAGACGATGATTTCGGCGATTTCACATCTGGCGCGGACGCTTTTGGCTTCGATTTTGTCAAGCCCGCTGTACAGAATGGTTTCTCCAACGTTCCATCCGAAATGGGAGACTTTATTGGAGGCGGTACGGCGACGCTAGGCACAAATGGCGCTAATAACACTTCCTTCCGTGCTCTCTACATACGCGCGCATAGGCTCTTAAGGGGCCTTACGCCAGCGCTGCTCGAGCCTCCCCACCAGATCCTGTCGTCCATTTTCCCACCCACGACCGGGACCTCTGCCCCCCTCTCCCTCGTACATCGCTCCAAGACGCTCCGTCTCTTGCACAGATACCTTGCTCTGCTAGAGCCTCTACGTTCCTCTCCGTCTCTCCTCTCTGCTCTCCGTGCTGCTTCAGATCGGTTTGATGCTGCGCTGCTGAGCGCGTTCGACGTTGCGGATGGCCGGGCCGACGAAGCTGGCATGCGCCAGGCCGCGGAAGCCAGCTGGGAAATCTGGGATCCGCACGAAGGCGGAAGCGGTACCGCCGCGGAATGGGAAATGGGGCGCGTATGGGCTGAGAAACGGGAGATTTTTTATGTCACAAGCGCACACAGGCCCCTTGACAATTTCACGTATGTCATGTGTTCGGTGGTCATGCTGACTGACGCGATGGGGCCGCGCGCACCAGCTCGAGCGGTGCTCTGGACTTTGAGGGCATGGATGCCTTCATGAGCTTCGTCTTGGACGCGCTTCGAGAGCACGGCTCGCGCGCTGTACGCGTCTTCCCTCCTGCCGCAGGTGTTCTCTTATCATTCGCAGATCGCATTGCAACGGAAGTAGTACGTCGATTAACCTCGTGTCCATCTCACGCCCTTGTTCACCCTAAAACATCGTAGGTTTCTGAATACATTACGCCCCTTCTCACGCATGCTCGCTCGCTGGCAAACGGCGCCCTTTTTCTGAAAGCGACTGCAGCATGCTTTCGCGAAGCTTGGCGCATGGTGGACGCCCTTCTCGAAATCGCCAGCCAGCGTCATCCGCAGAACGCGGAGAAGGAAGTCAGCAAGGCGCAGGCCGAGGACGTCGTGTGCGTGTGTCTCCTTCCGCCGTCGTTCCGAGCGCTTGTCCACGCTCCCACTCTTCTCCGCTGGCGAGATCGGTCTATTGACGTCGAATATGCGTAACCCAGGTATAAGATGTTCGAGCCAAACATGGACGAGTATCTCGATGAGGAAATAGACTCCCTGAAGCAGAACTTCGAGCAGATCTGCCGGGATTGGGAGAAGCAGGTGCATCTGTTCTGGATCCGACTTCGTACCCAGTCTCCTGAACTTACGCCAGACGCCTTAGACGCAGACGAGTCTCCCCACCGATGCATCGCCCCTCTTGGCCACACAGCAGCCTAGCTTTCTGGCCTCTTCCTCCCCCGCCCGCCTCAAGAGCAATGTCCTGTCCACGTTTACCAACTTGCTTCTTATTCCAGTGTCTATTGTCCCACGGACGGTCGAGACTGTCTCCGGAGCCGCAGTTCACGGCATTGCAATGCTTGACCCCCGACGGTGGGGTGGAGCCGGTCAGATCAGTGGGAACGTCGCTGGAGAGGGATACACCAAGGGGACTGACGACACAAACGTCGTACTCTGGGAGGACGAAGACAACGCTGATGCCTCAAGCGAACATGATGATGATGTTCCGAAGACCACAGTCACCTCCGCATCTTCACGGCCTTCTCGGCCGTACTCCTACGACAACCTCCAGCTGCTCCTTTCTCTCGACATCACGCTTGAGTTGATCCACGCCGCGCGAGAGTCGCTCAAGCGTGTAGAAATCTTCGTCGGCTACCCCGGCACCTACGGTGTTCGCGTCCGAGAGACGATTGAAGAAGTGGCCGGTGAGATGCTGGGTGTCCTCGGCGAGCGGCACGTCAAGAATGGATTCGAGCTGTACGTAGATCGCTCTTTAATGAAACAGCATCTATCTCACTACATTTCTTCGTGGCCATACCAGTGCGATCTCACAGATGCGCACCTACCAGCCTCCCGCACTCCCAGATCCCGTTTCAGATGCAGAAAAGGACGCCCCAACATCGACATCTGTTGCACCATTGGTCCAGTTCTTCGAGTTGGTCCATATCGGGGACATGATACAAAGCATAGTACAGGTCTACTTTGATAAAGAGCTGGTACGTGTTGATTCCAAACATTCCGCATCGGTGCTAGCCCGTTGCCGTGATAGGCCCCCCATGTCGACATTACGGATTTCCTGAACCCGGTGGTCAGGGAGAAGAAGCGGTTTGAGAATCTGCTCGACGATTCGGTCGCGAAAGGACTGAACGCGGGGATCGAGGTTTTGATGAACCAAGTCAGTTCGTTGGGGCTTTCACGGGTTAGCCGGTTAAACATAATTCAGGTCGACCACATCATCACGACTCTCACCCCTCCACGAACATATTATCCGCCGGAGGACGCACCGCTCCTCCTTGGGCCTTCCAGGGGCTGCACTGAGGCTATCCGGTGCCTTGAGGAACATATTCGCCTTCTGCAGGGAAATGTCAACCGCGAAGTACTGGAAGTCTTTGAGGGCGAAGTGGGCGTAAGATTGATCGGGTAACACACATGAACGTCTTGTTATGGACCTTGGCCGACAAATTTACGTTTCTAAATTCCAGGATATTGCAAAAACACATTAAGCGTCAAATCATCTCGCTGAACGGAGGGTTCCAGGTCATTGCCGATCTGAATGCCTATCACTTATTCATATCCTCGTTGAAGGTTGGTCATTTGTCGGACGCTGTCACCCGTCGCTGACCGCATGCGCAACAGATCCAATCGTTGACATCTGATTTTGCCAACCTCAAGATGGTGGGTCACGTCTTTGTTGTGGAAGATGCCAAAGACCTGGCGCAGATTGTGCGCGACGTTACACGCTACGGCGGAGCGTACCGACCTGAGGTGAGCGCTTGTGCGTTTGTTTGGCGGCGTGGTGTGCCTCATCGGTCTCTAGGACATCTATGAGTTTATTCAACGGCGCAGCGACTGGAAAAAAATCGAAAAGGTTGTTGATAAGACCATGTACAACCTGAACCTTAGAGAAGATTGTATTATCGCCTGAGCGACCGCGAATGATGCCCTGCCCTTGTTCCGATCATCAGAATTGCTGTCAGCGATACTCTCTGTACGTGCGGACGGTGAAGTAAGAGTTGGACTTGTAAAGCACACACTACCAGGAACAGGATTCACACGGGAACAGCAGGGCCATTGAGTGAGTGTCAGCTGCCTTCGGCATCGTTCTCGGCGCTAAATCTTGATTGATTGCTTCTTCTGAGCTGTTGGGATCTCAGGTGGTACGCCCCCACACCAGGCGCACAGCGTTGTTCCAGAAGCGCACGCACAATATCGGGCGGGCGCAATTGCGTTATCCTTTACATATATGGAAGGTGCTGCCAGCGATTTCGCAGCTCCTAGGCTTTGGAGACTTTCGAGCGCATCACATCGCACCAATATACGCCGTTGACCCGACGACTTTGTCGACCGGTGTTCCCAGAGGATCTTTCCGAATTCACGTATAATATGGCGTGCGCAGAAGCTACGGCAAGAGGGAACAGCGAGGAAGGCACGATCAGCATGATTCTCGCTGCCAAACGTCCGATCCCGAGCGCGGTACATGCTTGCCCGCGGACCAGCTCCAGGTTCTCGCGGCGCGGATCCCTGGCTGACGACCGGTACATGCGGCCGGCGGTCTGCGTCTCCGCAGCCTCCTTCCCATACAGCGCCGGGACGTGCGAATCATCCTCCAGCAACAAAACGGGCTACTTTTGTCTCCGTTCCACACTCCCTTACTGGCAAGGAGTCTACACAACGGCAACCGTCCCGATTGTCCACGCACGCCCGACAATATCACATTGTGATCACCCGGCTCACATACTGCGGCCTGATAATGACGTCCGTGTCCTTGACAGGGTTGCCCCACCTGAGAAGAAGAGGCCGTTCTGCGGCCGGCAGGACGTCACCTGAGACGGACCTAGACAGACGCAGACGGAGATATGTTTTTGATAATTACTCTCTCATCTTGCAGTGATCGACTCATGTACACGCCCCTACGTGCAGGTGCTGCCCTGGCCCTATCGTTTCACAGACAGGGCTACCAGCCAGCATGGGTGCCAAGGGTTGTTTCGACACCGTGGTGCTCATGGCGCCCAGCAACGGAGCCCCAAATGCTCTTCAATTAAGTCGACGCACCAGAGTGGCGCATGTGAAAGGACCTACCCCACGCTGCGCCGCGGATATCACCCCACGAAAGGCAACGCCTGTGAAGGTAAATTGGGCAGGACTGTCAGTCACTCTGCGGCCCCGCATCCGACGGCAGTCCACACTGGCGCCGCAGCTCGAAGCGCAACTGGTCCTCGTAAATACGCCCTATAAGCGAATGCTGGGCGCCGCGGGCTGCGTACTAAGAGCACGAATCCATTCAGTTGTGCGGGTTCCCCCGGGGCCAGGTAAATATGTTATTGACTTGGCGCCCGCCATCTGCGCAGCCTTTTCATTCGTAGACATGCA